AAACAATTTCATGTGAGTGTCTCACTGCGAACCTCTAACGTTCAAATGTGAATCTTCCCCTTAAATTTCCCCAAAGAATATCTGTTAGCTTGATTTTGACAACACAATTGGCAATTCATTAAATGTTTTCATATACCGAGTATCAATTTCACTTTGCAGAAAGGCTCGCGCCAGGCATTAAAAAAATTATACGTTTGGGATGAACAAGACTAATCATGTCTCAGATTCATCCATTGGAGGCCCCTTAATTTCCCCATTGTAGAAAACAAGATGTATAATGAACAATTATACATAAAGTCAATTTCAGTGTTGTGCAGAAGACTTAATTAAAATTACTAATGAAAAAAAGGACTGCTTACACTGTGGAAGTTTGCTCATCAATTTCAAAATTAGTAAATGCTTTGTCTTCATGGGCTCTAATGAAAATGACCTGAGTGGCGACACACTTCATTTTTTGTTTACAAACAATCATTTTGAATAGAATTAGTAACCACAAACCCGTCTTGTTATTCATTCGGAAAAGAATAAGGTATAATTGTCCAAACTGCGGAAGGAAATGGCAGCTTAACATCCCCGTTATTCTGGGACACATTGTATCACATTATCAATTAACAAGTGTATTCAAACGCGCAGGAATGAGCGTCATGCTTGTGGCAGCAGCCTAAAAAAGGATAATTATGATGAAACATCCAGAGGAGAGCAGTCACTGGAAGACATGATATTCCCTGAAGTGATTCCCCCTCCCCCCTCCAGCCCCGCCGCAAGGCACAATCCACACAGTGGCACTGACAGATTGACAAATAAGGTTAATAAGTACTTTCCACCTCTCCTAAAGGCTAATCAAATATTAATCCTTGAGGTGTGGTCAGCAGGAAGAAAAAAAACAACAACAAACATTTGGTGGAGGGGAATTGATCGAATTGATTCTCTCTCGTAATGCTCAGGGCCAGAGAAGAAGAAGAAGAAGACGGATAAGAGGGAGAAAAGGAGGAGATGTTGAGCTGGAACTGTACGAATTCATTTCAGGCCAAGAACGGACAAATATTTGGATATAAGCGCTTAAAGCAATTTCAATTTTTAATCCATCTTCTCATATCCGCCAAATGCTCATAGCGTTGTGGCCGTCTGCGGCTCGTCACCCTCCCCAACCAACAGACCAAAAACAATCGTTTTTCATGTGATCCTCTGCCTTTTAACCCAAATGAACCATTCATGAAAACAGAAAAGCAGAGAAAACACAGGCAAATATACAAATAGATATGATCTCTATAAACGCCACCTTTTGCACACGGGGGGGGGGGCAAAAAAATTCAGCATTTGAATGATTTAAAAAACAAACTACTGGTGACATGTTTGAATTTTACACAAATCCCACCTACCTGCCCCCCCTAAGAGTTTTCACTAATCGGAAGCCTCGGGACATCTCGGAGTCTGGTGGACCATGTGAGAGGAGCCACACACTCGTGTACTGATAGGGCAAAATTGGATCCAGTGAGAATGCAAAGGAGCTTATCAACCAACACTTCCAGGCAGTGCTCTCTGCAAGAGCATATGTCAACATCATTTATTAGATGTGGCCAAGGACTAAATTATGTATGATCACAAAATGAAAAAAAAAAAGGGAGCGAAGGGTGGGAGAAAAATAGGATCACACGCAGCAGGTGGATAGAATAATATTTGGAGAGAATATGAAATTATTAATGGAGGCCCTTAAGGGAGAATATTTGTTAACATTAACCGGTGAGTCATTTGTATTGGTTTGAGTGTATAATTAATCATATCGGACATTTCAGGAGACTTAAGTGAATCTTTTATTTGCTCCCCGGTTTCCAGAGGAGTGATCCATAATATTACTGTCACATAGAGTATTTCTATATTAATGTTTACTCACACAACAAGCAGCAAATCAGACATTCTCAAATTGCATCCAGTAAATTGTAAAAACTCAAAGTGGGATTCAAAAAACCTGCATTTCCGTCACTCCAGCCAAACATATACTAAGTAGCTTTAATATTGCCAGATGAGCAATCTCTCAAGCAAAATACTCTTCAGAGATAGTGTGTAATTGACTCCACATCTAACAGTATGGAACAAATCCCACTAGCAGAGGGAGTTGACAAATTGCATTAAAAACACTCAATTGGGCCAGGATTGGATAGAAGCTCATGTTCCTCCTTATCCCATTAAACATGAAACAGTTTAATCTCTCAAACTTGCTGACATGTGTGCAAACGCTCATGCAGCCTGCATTCAGTTGGTAGCAGAATATCAAGGTACAACAACACAGCCTCTGAACTAACTGTGCACTCCAGTGTGTGTGTGTGTGTGTGTGTGTGTGTGTGTGTGTGTGTGTGTGTGTGAAACACGTGTATACAAGAGCAGACTCAACATGGAAATAGCATTATTTTAATCTTCAATTACAACATTGTTTAATGGCGGAGCGACGGCAGAGCTGCAGACATGCGTATCATTTGTTTCGGGCTGCTTAAAGCGGGCGATGTTCAAGAGACTCAAACTGTCAAATCATCCAAGTTTCTTCTTCAATGGCTTACCCGATTTGAACATGTTCCGCTTCTTTTCATGACATGTAAACAGGTTTTGACATGGGTCTAGTTAAATGTGTAAGACATGCTGTAAAAAAATATGCCTGCGTGGAAAAAATTTTTTTTTTTTTTAAAAAGGCCCAAACCTGTCAACATAGAGTACCTGCTTTAAATCTGTTCCCCCATTTCAGGCAATCTGTGGGAACCAGGCCTGTGGAGTCTAATCCTGTTTTCATCCGTGCTCCCCCCTCTCCGACAGCCCCCCTCATCTGTATCACACTTTCAATTCCACTTGCTGGTGCCTTTGTGCGATTTCCATTTGATCTCGCGTTTAAAATTCAAAATCTATTCAAGGTTTTTTAGTTGGATTCACGCTTTCGCCATGAAGCCCTATTTATGTTCTAGATTTGGAATTGCAAATCACGGGTGTGTGATTTAAGGGGGAATGGAAGTCCAAAATTCCCTGGCATCACCTTTTATGATTCTGTAGGTTTAAAATGTTAACAAGGGTGTTTTAGCAAGCTGATTTGTGCAGTATCAGACTGTCTCTGGCTGTGTGTGTGTGTGAGAGAGTGTGTGTGTGTGTGTGTGTATTCTACTACAATAATGGTGGTAAACTCTCATTTACTAAGTCTGACCGTCTGTGGCACGATGGTGGTTTCGATTCTGACGTCTAGACACACCTAGCGACCTTCGTCTCTGAGGCACCTGCCATACTGATGCTGACAATGCTCTTGACTTTGTTTGTATAAAATATTTAACATGTTTCATTTTAACAACAGATCTTATTTCAAATCTTATAACTTTATACAAGGTTTGAAAAAAACATTTTCCCAAGCAATTATTTGTTTATTTCACATTATTTTTATCTTATTGTCATATTTATCAACCTTTATATAAAATGTATATGCTGACATATTAAGGTTTTAGGTAAGAATAATTTTTTTTGTACCTGCACTTTTGTTTATTATTATCTATTTATATGTTGTTTCTGAATAGTTACTTTTCAAGTACCATTTCAATTTTCCGTAGCCGTTTTGAAGCGCTGCGTAACATCTTTTCATTTTTAATAAACATTGGAGCAATATCTGTAGGTAAACACGACTACTTCTTCATTTTTTCCAGATTAAAGAAATTTATGGGAACATACTGGTGCACCATCACTAATGCACCACCGCTCTTTAAACAACCCAGAGCTCTGAGGTGACTGAACAATGATCACACTTGTCACTGAGATGTTCTGCCTGATCATCGCTGTCTCCAAACTCCAAACAAGCTGTAGGATTTGCAAAACTGAATGACAGCGATGAAACAAAATCACCAAGATCACCAGATGTGAGTATAAATACACAATAACTCCGATGCTCTGTGCAGAAATAACCTTTTCATTTCAAACAGTGTGCTGCTAAATGTCAGCATGAATTGAGTTGTTGCGGAAGAGAAACATCTTCATGTACAATAATCTTGGATTCTTTTATGAAAAGTATAAAAAGCCTCCAGCATATATTCATATCTGTGCCTGCAGTGCACGATCCCTGCACGGTTTCCCTGCTACAGTAACATTATGGTTTAAAAACACCTCAAAAGAATTAGCATCCAGGAAATCATGCACTTTGCATTGATTTTCCCTCAGACTTAACTCTGCCTTTATTGTGATACCAACGGTAAAATATCAATATCAACCAAATTAATAACTTCCCCCTGAGAGAGATCTCAGACTGTGCAGTGCTTGTATCTATTCAGAGGAAGAAGTAGCAGGGGGAAAAAAGAACAAACTTTGGTTCTATTGAATCCCTATGAACAATTTATACAAAGAAATTTAATATTGCTGCAGACTCTCATCTGCTTTGCAAATAAATGGTTACTTCTGCGCTCAGATATGACTTTAAAGAGCACATCATAAAGAATCCACATTTGGACTGATTCATATTCCTCAATCGCCAACGTTAACATTAAAAAGAGATACACATGGTTGTTGTTTTTTTCTGCAAATGTCAAGGCGTAATAAATAACTGAATATTTTCATGTGAGTGTTTTCGGCTCGGCGGTGCGTTCCCCATCTGAGGCGTGAGCTGCAGTAAGTCCACGTGAGCCTTTGATGATCACTCTGGGCGTCGTGTTTGTTTGGTATAAGTTGTGATTGATAATAGCATTACGGCGGGGCAGTATATCTGCTTATCAAAGAACATTATTGCCCCACTTGATGCCCAGTCAGGGATTTAGGTGAGCATTGTGAACTCAAGCCACAACAAACCCCACTTCCTGTGATTATCTGACACAAGGTGCTGACGGGTGCTCGTCTGTTGACATTTCTGTTGATATTGGCGGTGTAAAGGACAGCAGCGGCGGAGACTTACAGCGCTCGCACAGGACTTACACACTTGTATTTTCCTCTTTGTCCGCCCTTGTTGTGGGACTTAGCGTATCATTGGTGGTTGAATGAGCTGTGGCACTGACCTGTGGTGACGGACCGGGTATCATACATCAGGGGGCTGTTTTCTCTCTGTCATCACAGTTGTGTGTGTGGTCAGGCCTGCGTGGAACCTGGAACAGCTGAAACATCACAAATGCAAAATGTAAAAGCCCCGATGTAGAGCAGCATGACAAAAAGAAGTATGTGAAATGGATAGAGGGTCACAGTGTCATTGCTTTTTTTTTTTTATGTGGCAGCCTGATCCTAACCTGATTGGTCTCTGTTAGAAGTTATTATTAAAATAACACAGACCCTACTTACCATAAAATAACAGGTGAGGTTAATGGCAAATGATTTGTTGCATTAAAACCACAGTCATTGCCTCAATCTCCCTTTTTTCTGCCCTAATGGATTTTATTTTACTGAATATTCTCTGGAAGCATCCATAATTCTGTATGAAAGCAGATCTATTTTTCATGAATACAAAGTAATATTAAAAGCAACAACTTAACAGACTATGAATTAATAATTTTGTATTAGCGAAACATGAAAAATGCACAATTAGGAAACGTTTTTTCACAGCTTCCTGTGCGGTGGCGACGGAAATTATAAAGTGTTTCATAGAAAACATCCAAACACATCTTTGGCTGTTTATATCCTCCTGTAACAGATATTATATGGTGTGTATTGGAAACACTGTAAGTATCAATATCATATATGAAATATGAAGCTTAGGAAAATGCATTTTGCTTTTAAAATAGGTACAAATCTACATCTGCATCATGAGTTACACTGACCATGACTGCATCCATGCAAACATGGTATTTGATTTAATGTAATCCCTCAAATCTCCAGAGAAATGGATAAAATCCTTATATTAATTAGAACTAATTACACCTTGCTGTGAAATTCAACACTTAATGGACAAATCTTACAATGTTCCATGTTTTTGTAATAACATTAAAACACACAAAAAGGAAATATGAAACATGAAACATGACATTAATAAATTAACCCAAGTAAATGTTTTCACCCTGTCTGCCATTTTGAAAGGCCTTTAAAATATTGGGCATTCAAAACATCGGACCAGTTTTGTGTAGTTTTTGGAGGCTTCAGCTACACAGATGATTGTTAGTATAATCTTTTTTTTTTATGAGATTTGTTGGTTGACAAAAGGAAGAAAGTAAATATAACCAGCCTACAACTTAATTCACATATAACGTGCAATATCTATCTAATTTTCAACAGGCTAAAAGCAGAGGTGGGTTAGATAACACAGAAAAGATGATTCCTTGCAGATAACGGACAACAGACGTAACACGGCGTTAAAGACACATCAAGACAAAACAAACAAGAGAGGGAGACTCAGCTGAGATGAGGCACAGCGCATTAAGTGACAACAACATGGAGGAAGGTGAAGAATCAGCCAACATCTCTGACAAAGAAGCAGAGCAACATTTCCCATCTCTGACCCTACGTTTACCACCTCTGGCTAAAAGCACATATTTGGCTTTAAACACAAGCCGTCTGAAAAGTGCACTGTCCAATGACAGAGACTAACTGACACACAGTGCATGGGTCTTTATTGAATCAGCAGGATCCACACCAGCTGCTGTGGGTGTCATATCATTTGGTCCTCCAAAGCCTCTGTAGTTTTTTGATAAAACACCTATCTTGGCACATTTCCAACTGTTAAAAATCCTTGTCCGATCTGTAGATCATGTACAAATTCATACTTTGATAGCTGCGTTTTATATAAGTCCGTGACCAAGCTTTTCTACCCTGAAGCACAAACAGTAATGGCTGTAGCACTGGCTTTTCCCATGACATTTAGAGGTTAATTTGCACTGGTTTCATGGTCGTTTATCAGTGGAAGGTTTAGAAATTAGCATTCACCACGCTTTTTATTGACAGAAGTGTTTAATAACCCATCAAATCAAACAGGATGGTGAGCCAGCTCCATTCAAACTGCAGAAAGTCCACAGAGGACTGTGTGATGACTGAGCTCATGATTCTGAAGCCTGGGAGTAGGTGTGACTTTAAATCGTCCTGAGCTTTAGAAAGGATTGGTGTCAGTGAAGGTTTCGTGGTAAATGTTCTGCAGGAAGTGATGCCTGATGTCGGGCTAAATCGTGTGCAGGCAAACCTGCAGGAGCTGCTCTGATCCAGGTGGACCTGGTCAGTTTAGTGGAGATAGATGAGGGAAGAGGAAGCTTCTTGTTCTCACCACAGATTTCCTTTTATTCTGACACATTTACAGCCACGCTCAATCTGTTATATCCAGGGGTGAAAGTAAGCCGGTGCGCTCCGGTACTCCGTAGGCTACCACTAAAAGATTCAGTGCCGCTGTCGAGCCAGAAAGCGATCGTCCACCAGAAACTGATTGCCGCTCAGTGGAAAACAGACTTTTACGAGTTGTATTGCTGCCTTCAATATATATATAAAGTGGTAAAAAGAAAGGACTAGATAGGTTACAATCTAGGACATGAGGCAAAACATTGCAGTCATAGCTGCAAATTAAATGATTGATTATCTCTATATATAAAACAACAGTAAATCATGGTTATTACTAGTTACTAGTTTCCCATTATTAAAAACAGCATATTAGACATGGGCTAGATGTACCTTTATGATTACCAGGGACATAAAGTTAAGTGTGTGTACACAGCACACAAGCAGCTGTAGACGTATATAATCTGGACTATACAGCTTTAATACATGCATTTCGTAAGGTTCTATTTCCAGGGCTGTGAAGTCGCCGTTCCAACTCTCTTGTGCTCATGTACTTTAAAGTAGGAATGCGGCAAAAGCATGAAACGCTCAGAACAAAATAAGTTGTATTTACATGTTTCCATCATTTAAACAACACCTTGACAACTCTGTCCAATATTTGCATAATAACAAAAGAGTTCAGTAGGGTGTTAGGTGCTTGTGAAGGATAGACATATTGTTTGCAAATTCAAAAGCTACTGTTTGGAGCGGATTTTAAAATTATTTTAATTGGATTACAACTCACGCAGCAAAATGTTCAACAACTTTGCGAGTGGTTCGTGAGAATTTTTTCCTGACTATCACTCTAATGCATCAGTTTCTGGCTTCACTTTTTGGAAAAACACCTTCCCGCAAAACAGGGAGGAGGGAACAACAGCTAACAAGACATCCATACAGCACACACACACACACACTGCTAACATTTGGTCAACACAATCAACAGTTAGCTTTTGCTTATAAATCGTTTCACTGTGTTATTATTATCCAGTACATACCTGTGCTTTCAGATCCAGCCCTGTTGGTTTTAAGCTGGCAGTCATTTGTTTTATTTTTTATTTCCCATGCATCTCCAAAGTAAAATGACTAAATAAGTTGTGCTAGATGCTCATTTCCATTCCAATGACAACGAACAAGCTACATGACTTCCATGAGTTGATCTGTAACTGGCATGACCATGTGCTCACCTTTACTTCCTTATCTTCTTCTTCTTTTACTGTTTTGTGGGGGTTGGCAACAACTTGCTGTAGCATTATCGCCCCCATCTGAACAGGAGTGTGTATTGCAACAATTATCAGCCGATACCACACTCCTCTGATGAATCCTGTTTTACCCCCCCCCCCCCTCCAAAAATATTCCCTTATAACCTACAAGCGAGAATTTAATTTAGATGTTATTTCAAACACAGAGCTTTGATGGGTGTGTTGGATTTATTGTTGCTTATTCTGACACATTACTGTTCTCATAACTTGTTTCAGAAGAAATATAAAGAAATGCTCGTTACCTTATTTGAATATGCACATTGTAAGATACATTATCAGACATCATCACCATCATCACCATCATCACCATCAGCTTTTTTTTGTGTGCCTAGTGTTTTGAAAATTTAAAGTCACAGACTTGTTAACTATTCCATCATGTTTGATTAATTCAGTTGTACTTTTCTTCTAATTTGAAACCAAACACACATTTTTTGAAACAAATATTTTGAAAGTTTGAAGGTGTTTCTCGTGTCTTTGTACACCATACAGGAGTTTGAATGTGTGTGTTCAGGGATGCATGAAGCTGAGTTTGGGAAGAATATATGAAGGTTTGATGTAGTGGCAACAAAAACTACGTTCACCCCTGATTATTCTTTTTTAACCAACAGAGCATATTTGCATATAGGACAACATCTAAGACTCACAGTGTTCCTCCCCACTTCCATTCAAGTACCCAAACTTTGTCCCATTCTGTTGAGCAACAGTGAGATTGTTTGCTTTTTGTAGTTGGATGAATGATGAGGCCTTGTAGGTTATGAAACTATGGAATTTGGAGGAAAGTTATTCATCAGACAATGTGCTGGTATAGTCACTGTTAAACCATTAGAAAAAAAATCCTGCACTTTTTTGTCTAGGAAATTAGTTCAAGCCCATAAAATACACTGCACATAATTTTTTGTGATCTCCTTTATAATTCCCGGCTTCCTCCTCCACCCTTATCTTCCTCTTCGCCACTGTTGTGCTCGAATGTGTATAATTTCACATCCCCAGATTCACACGGCATGTCACCAACTCGGAGTGAAATATACTTATGTTCAAAGGAGTCCTAATGTGGAGTGATGGGGAGGGGGCCCACAGTAGCCTCACAGCCGTTGACACACAGCTGTCTTTGCTGTAAATCTTGCAAATCCACACGGAAAAAAAAATCTCCCTCATGAGACTTCTTTGAGTGGTAAATTGCTCCAGCTCTGAAAGTAAGTGTAGTGAGAATCGTCATGTGCGTGTGACTACAGAGCAAATTATTTGAGTTCAATTGAGAAAGGAAGTCAAAGCTGTTACTGCACTTCTAATAACTGTAAAACATGACTTCTAACGTATAGTTACCAGACAAGGTTAATCCTGCAGGTTAATAAATACAATGCATTCCCCCAGTAATAGCATGCAAGGCCTTGTCGGAGTCCTTTTTATCTACAAGCCTTGTCTGTGAGGTTATTATATAATTATATTATTGCATTTGTCATTTACAGAGTTCGCTCTTGGGGTGAGGCACAAATTAAAGCAGTGAGTGTGTTAGCTTTATATAAGCAAAATGTCTGCAACACAAACCATGAGAAAAGTTCATATTTTTTCCTGTGTAATGAATGCTACATTATTTATATTATGAATTATGGATGAACTTGTGCAGACCTGAGCAGGCCCTCAGTAGCACGGCTCGTAATCAATCCTTGTCTGATGGACCTCTCCAACAAACAGTTATTAGTGGTTCCTCTGTCTCCAGTCGACTTGGGTAAACCTCACTAACTGGCAATATGATCTGTTATTATCTACATTCAAGGTATAAATGAGAATTTCGCTCACGGAAAATACATTGTCACTCATTTTTTTGGGGAAAAAAACATGTTAAGACATTTTGGCTGTAATGATTTAAAGATTGTGGCGACAAAGATTAAGCACTTCACCGGTTTCCTGTCATTGAAAGGCTTACTGAAGCCGCCTGCTAATGCTCTTCACAGAGTACTAAAGAGAATGCATATTAAATGACAGCATCCTTTGAATTAATACACTTTGTAACTTCGCAGGCACCGGCATAAGCACAGAAGTGAGATAGGGAGGAAACATTATTCATGGTGTTTTTCATCCTAACTCTACTTTATTAGCTTATTTGATTCCCTATTCTCCTCATAGTTGATTCAATACATTCCCTATTTGCATAAAACTGTCCGGTAAGATTATCTTCACTTATTCGATCTATCCTAAGAGTCACCTTGTTCAGGATCTTATATGAATAATGAGATTTTAAATTGGAAGACACTCACACAGAGAATGAGGCATTTACAGTTAATTCATCTCATTGAGTTACATTGCTTAGAGGTATTGGAGGGTTTAGATTTTCATTCAAGCATCATATTTAACAGTGTCTGCTTCCCCCACTTTACTGGCATTGAAATTTAAATGACCTGAGCCTGACAGATCCAATATTGCGACCCACTGTTGCTATTTTTCCTGGGAGGAAATATATTGTCAAAATCGCTACATTCAGAGAACGAGACGGAAAAAAAAAAAGGAGTGATCACATGGAGCGTCTCACCTTTGTGGTTTCCCCCTTCTTTTTATAAATACTTCAATGGGACTGAACGTCATTTGTTATTTCCCTATTTTTAGAAAACGATACAAATGCACCAAATGTTGCAGAAACGATTTTGGATCCAAATAAAAATTACTTTAAAGTAAGCAGTCAGTGTTTTATCTAAAGCAAAATGCAAATGTGCACGGAAGCATAAAAATTTCTGTCGCGCGTGCACACGCATTCACCGTGATTTTACAGAAAAAGAGACAGAGAGTAAGAGAGCGAGAGGGGGAGGGGGTTAATTGGCTTTTTATGACTCCAATTAAATAACATTATGCATATACTGGCTTAACGGCTTATATGTGGCCTCCATTAACAATGTCCTCTTGATTGGTTCTTGGGCTTAAGGTCTCCTCCAGCTCAGGCAGTGCTTGTCACACTGTTTAAACCGGTAAGTGGAGAAAAAGCTTATGTGACAGTAAGATATTTTACACGTGCCCGAACCATTTAAAAGAAAAACTACAAATCTCAAAAAAGATCAATGCCCACCCCTCTTCCTTTACGGACACGATCTGCACAGAGAGCCCTTGAAACGTTTTTGTGTCCGAGAAGACAATTGAATAAAATAAATCTCGTCATTAAGGCCTCTGTGCGATATCTTGAAAGCAAAAGAGAAAGAAAGAAAACAAGCATGTGCCTGTCCTGAAGCGGAGCTCCTGAGGTGTTAACTAATCTCTGGTGGCCAGTCTATGCACTGCCTCCTCTAATTGCTCCCTGTATTTCAGTCTGGTGTGAGAGCAGCCATTGTAGCGAGCGCCAAGTCAGCCCCCAGAGGTCTCACACCTTCATTATCACTCTTTATTGCAGAACCTTATACGGGCACTCGGCACCAAACAGCCTGCCCGTTAAAAATAGAGCCTTCTCCTCTCCTCTCCTTTTGGTGGTTTCAGTTTTAATTACTAACACAGAGCCAAAGCCAGAGTCCTCAGCAGGCATGGCGTTTCTTTCTCTTTTTTTTTTGTTCACTAATTAAAGCGAGGACGGAGTTTATTGAAGGGACCCTGACTCTGCTCTCTCATCTATTATTAAGAGGGCAGGACAAATCATTTTCAAATTTATATGCTGAAACCTGTCCAGGGACAGGCGCGGGGCGGTAAAGGTTGGGGGGGAGGTGGGGTGAAATGGCGTTGAATACAAGGGGAGGTGGTTGAGACTGTCTATGTGGAGAGGGATTGAGAAAATAAGAAAAAAACAAACAATTTTTATAAATCAGCACAGAAGAAGGAGTGTGGTAGATTCAAGCTACAAGTCCCTGAGCTGCAGCCCACCTTAATTCTGATCATTAAGGGATGAGAGTCTGCTCGACCTGCACCAGTTGTATTAGCAAACATAATGGCATTGATTGGAGGACACCCTCTGTGTGCTCTGTGTAAACAGTGGGCATAAATACCAAAACAGCAGGGCGGTAATGTGAGAGCACAACGTCCGGCCAGATTGATGTTCTTAGTGATTCACTAACCCCCTCTGTCTAACATCCTTAATTGTCTAAACAGGCGCGACTCTGGCAGCTGCACAGGTACCTCGGTGAAAGAACAAAAAAAAAGTATTTGACTGGAGAGAGGGGAAGAGGAAGAAGACAGCTGGTACAAAGAAAAAGAGCGTGAGAGACAGCTGATACGAGTCCTTACTCCTGTGTCGTACAAATACTCTAAATCTAATGTTTGTACAGATTTTGGGTAAAAATGTGTCAAAGTCAAATTTGAAAATGCTTGGATGAAGTCAAGGATTTTCTGCTTAAGAGGAGTTTTACGTGAAAATCTTAAAAGCCTTTGATTTTACTTAAGCAAATCCAGGTTTTTATAATTGCTTTTTGTCAGCTTGTTAATTGTGTAAAGGCTGCTGAGTTTTTACAGGCTGGAAAGAATCCTGCATTCTTATTCAACCAACATTTATTTACTTTATTTTGAAAAATCCATTAATTTGAAGGTCCAAACTTTATTTTTCCACCACAAAAGCAAGTCTGTGTGACATGAACTTCGAGGCATTAACAGAAATGCTTCAACTTACAATAAACAATGCAACGCTGACTTTTTCTCACAGTTGCATATGAAGGAACGCTTTGTCAAATCACTGCTGTACATTAAATTGGCCTCTAACTGCTACAGTGGGTGTGTGAGGTATCAGAGCAAAACACAAGTGGGAGCAAATCCGCACGGAGAAATTAGCAACATACAATTAGAGAGAGAAAATCTTCATATCTGGTTTCTAACCTTTATGAGGGGCGGTAGAGTGAATTGAAAAGGAAGAAATAATGAATTTAGCCGAGTGAGGAGCAAGAAGAATCCTCCCCTTAGCCTAACAAGCAGCTCGCATCCTCAGGGCAA